GGGGTTAAGGGAGGAGAAAGCTGGCAGAGGGGGCTGGAAGAGAGGAAGTTGGACAAAGGAGGGGGCTTAGGGGTCATGAAAGAGGGGCACAAGGACACATAGTTAAACAACAACAAATGCCACCTTCTCTCATCTGTCGATGAGCAACAGAGAATCAATTGTCGTTATCTACTTCGTAGGCCACGGCTGATCTGTTGTGTGCACCAATTCGTTGCTCTGGCGTAATGTTTCGCCTTCCAACTTCATTTCGATGGCCACGTTTCGACTTTCGAGCCTCTACTGTGTTTTCAACGTTCATGTCCCTGGCACTATTTGCTTGACATGTCTGCATTTTTTTGAACATGTCCGCATGGTTGGAGGTCAGACCTATATAGCCCCGCTGTGAGCCACTCGCCATCACTTAACGAGTTTTCATCCGGCAGCGAGCATCAGAATGCTCGCTCGCTGCCTGACAGCTCCCAGCTGGCCACTTCCGTTTTCGAAAAAATTAAGACATTATTACTAACGGACTTACATGTGCATTACTCAGCCACATGGGCCCGGTGTTGTCGACTCTCAGTCTGCAAAAGGAATTGCAAGCTTCCTGAGTGCTGCAGCAACGTCCCCAAGGATCTCGCATCTTCTTCAGCGCAGTGGTGGGAATGCTCTGAGCGCCGTTGTCTGCAGAGCCTTTGCCTTTGCTATGCGAACTTCTCTTTCAGTACTCATCCACCATATGTACCATTCATGTTCGTTCACCGAAGAGGATGGGAAAGTGGCATTCTCTTCGGTGTGTCCGTGGTCGATTTGATTCTCCTACTCACTCTGCTTCTTTCCTTTCATTGTAAATTCCCTTCCTTATCGCAAATTATTACCACTTGCAATTGTCCACAGTGGGCATCATTCAAAGAAGTGAAACTTTGATAGCATTAATGCTGTACATAGTGGGCATTGTTGAAAGCAGTGGAAAACTGTAAGAGCATTATACTGCTTTCCCTTCTTTCTTTCCCGTTCCTTCTCTCACTACTCCTCGCTAGGCCGGTGCTGGCACTTTCTGGGAGGTGGCAGCTCTCTCTCTCTCTCTCTCTCTCTCTCTCTCTCTCTCTCTCTCTCTCTCTCCCTCTCCCTCTCACTCTCACCCCCCCCCACCCACAAAAAAAAAAAAAAAAAAAAAAAAAAAAGTTGTTTATTACAACCACTCAACCTTCATGTTTGCATTGCCTTGTGGCTGCCGTGATGGAAATGACCTAGTGGTTCTCAGCTCTGTCATCTCTCATCCTCCGTGCGTGTGTTAAACTGCATTTCACAATTCATAATATTTTATGCAGTTTAATCAACTTTAATGCACCAGCATGAACATGCAGTCAGGAGAGAAGTCACCAAATCACTTACCTGGCTTCTTGCAGACCTTCACAACTGAAGCCACGACCAAGCTGACCAAATTCATTGTATCCTGTTAAACGACAGGCAAAAGCAGCCGACCAGTTACTGGCTCACGTAACTTTTTTCTTGCATGGATAAAGAAATAAATATAGGAAATACTGACCAAAGATAACCAAGATTGAAGGTCAGTATCTGTCAATCTGTAATACTGGAATCTCGGCCAAGTGTTGGATGCCATCCTGTTAGGATGATGACGACTTATACCGATGACTGTCAAGGGAAGAGCAGAGGTTACAAGATCCTGCTCCTGTGAAAAATACATTCGCTGAGTGGCAGGGATAAAAACACCTCAGAGGCTCAGACCAAGCAAAGGAGTGGAGTGCATGCAATTGATATGACATGTGAGTCTAATGTGACCCATTTCCTTCTCTCATTGTTCTTTCAGCACCCCTTCGGTAATCAGCCTATCGTTCTCTATGATATACGCTTATCAACTAATTATGAGTTAATAATTAATAATAAACGGAAAAAAGGAGTGAAAAGAAAAACTTATTGGCTCTCGCACGTTACTTGGCAGAAGTCAAGGTTGTTTGCATCCTAATTTCTAAATCAAACAAACAGATTGGTGAGTGACATTCTGCCACCAGGTGGGTACATCTGCGCCTCTCTCTCTCTCTCTCTCTCTCTCTCTCTCTCTCTCTCTCTCTCTCTCTCTCTCTCTCTCTCTCTCTCTCTCTCTCTCTCTCTCTCCCCCCCTATAATTTGTTTGCAGCCTTTAGTAAATGCAACAATGGAAGAAGCAAGAAGAATCCACCTGCTCCTTTGTTTCGTCTAGATAAACTCGAATTGCCCTCTTCCATTTCCTCCGTGAGACGTTCTTGTTTCCTTTCTTTTCTTTTTTTTTTTCTTTTCTTTTTTTTCCCTAGTGCGTTGTACTTACTGCTTAAGGTTCTATCCATTTGACCTTTCAAAAAAGGAAAGGAAAGTATTCTCTTGTTTTTCTTTTTTTTTCCAGGCGCTGTTTGCTCATCATACCCTCCAGGCATCATCTGATCAGTATGATATGATGATGCAGGTACTCTATGACCAATCTATAATTTCAGAAGCCTTTGAAAAGAATGCCCACTTACGACAGCAGTTTCGGTGGAAAGGAGCTTGGGTTTCCTCTGCTTGATGCATGCATCAAAAACTGACGAAAAGTCTTAGAGGGCATCACCACCGACAATTGGCTGCCAGAACGCACACTGCAACAACGAATGAACAACAGAGCACATAGATCGGATGCCGTCCTCTGCTTGGAGTTTAATCAATTAAGGGGTGTTTAAATCAATTCACGGGTGTTTGCCAATTGCCAGGATCGCACTTGTCTGCCTAGCAAAATTCAATTTGTTGGAATGGGTTATGGAATTGAATTGATTAAGCTACTGAGTTATTAAACCAGATTTGCAGTGCGTGCCAGCGAAACATGAATCGCCAGCGGTGCACTTTGTTTTCCTTTCTTAACCGGCGTCGCCAGCCATTTCGGTCCTGTAGCACCGTTCTCCGCAGAAACCGGATTGGCGCAATTTCAATTCTCAAGTTTGCCTGGGCGAGGTACTGGTGGTTCAACCCAGTAGAACATCTGAGCCTGCTTTTTCCAATGAGCAGTTCTTCCCATCCCTAAAATTCCCAAACCGCCGCAGACACAACTCTGCCTGCTTCCACCATCCCTGAAGTTCCTCCCGGAGGCTGAACTTCTGCAGCACCAGGTTGATAGACAGGTGCGTTCAGCGTAACTGTGCGAGATCCTGGTAGTTTAAAGTTTAAACCACTAGCGCACGGCCCCAGCCTTGCAGTCCGAAACTTGTCGCTACAAGAAAACTACCAGGCCGAAACGTCAAACACAGGGCCTGCTGTTGAAATTTTGATCGGTGGGCGCGTTTTCTTTTCGCGCCTCCAGAATTTGAGGTGTCAGGCCCGCAGCCCAGGTGCCCATGTACTGGTGTTTTGACAGGACAGCCAGAGCGGAGAGCCTTCTTTTGTTATGGATTGCACTTGAATCACCGCCAGCAAATCTGAACCACGCATGTTAGTCCGCTTTTCCCAAGAGAGGGCTGCATGCCCAGGCCGGAACAGACGAGGGGCAGCAGGCTCTTATGTTGTCGGAGGGCCACAGGCTCTTTGTCATCATCTGCGGCCTTCTTTAATTTGCACATAGGGTGGCTCCATACCTCCTGCTGGATTTCAGCACCCCACTGGAAAAGGGGAGGGGTTTTCACATTATGCTCTCCTATCCGTGGGATTATCTAAATGAATCTGGCTGGTGGATCTAGTACCAATAGAAACCAATGACTTGTGTCAAACCAATGACATGTGTGAGATGTAACAGATGGTAGTGGCTCCTAGACTGGGGTGCAGATGTGACAGATGTGACAGATGTGACAGATGTGACAGATGGTAGTGCCTCCTCAAATCTACAGACACGCAGATGTCACTAGTTACAAAGAGAGAGAACTCAGTGAGTGTCTGTGGATTTGAGGAAGCCAGCTGAGGAGCAAAGGGAGCGCAGCGAAGCCCTAGAGTTGGAAATTCAAATTTTGGAAGCCAATCTTGCAGCAGACCGCGCAAACTCTTTATACTGCGAAGTTGTGCGAACCCCTTACAAACGGCAAAAGAAGAGCCCCTCCAAGTGGACATGCTGGGAACTTACGGGCTTACAGAGAAGAGCTAGAATGACCAATTTCTCTGCGAACGAATCCAAGACGATTGTTTTCCGCAAAAACCAAAGCAGAAACCAGGACTAATAATATGGTCAAGAGACCACCGAAAGATCCAACAGACAACAACATAGTCAGAAAGTCAGGACCAGAGACAGTGGAGATAGCCTAGCACAAAGTCCTATGTTGACATTTACACACCTAAAAACCCCTCCCCCCACCCCCTCTCTCTTCCCCCCTCTCTAGACGACCATAGCCTAGCACAAAATGACGTCCTACTTGGAGATAACAATGGCCCCCAAGGTGCGAGCAGGCAGACGTTTCTGATCAACCCCTCTCTTTACAAGAGCTCCCGTCCGCCCCCTAGACATGGTGGGAAATGAGAAACCCCCGAGCATTGACGGTATGGCTAAAGAATTCTGGGCCCATTTTTTGCCCCCTCTCGGGAAAAGACTTAGCGAACTTCTTCAGTGACTACTGGGATAAGGGCGGATTGCGAGAATATCTCAGCAGGACATGTGTTTCTCTACTGCACAAAAAGAGGGACCGGGAACATTTCTCAGTGTGTGAGATATCGAGCCCTGGCTGAGTCCGTAACAACACCCCACACTTTCCCTTCTACATCTTGGACAATTTGTTGTTCAAGATGGTCCTGAGTCAGCGATGGCTCAAAGCTGCACATGCAGCGACTTTCTGCTCCAGCCAATCGGTGCAGATTTCAGAGTGGAACAGCGCTTGCATGCAGGGTACACAAATGGGGCTCGCGAAGATGTATCCGGAAAATTTTGCATGTCAGCACCCGGATCCCCAAAGCAGACATGCAGACCGTTCGGACGACGCATGCGCCGGCAAAGAAGATACAGTACCTGGTCGAGTGGTACCACAATCTGCAGGAGGAGCCCATGAGAATTGAAGACAGGGAGGTAGATCGCCCAATCCACTACATGCCTGATGCAGTGCCTCCTGAGAGACGAATCTCCCAGATATCCCATCCAGGTACGGAGGAGATCAAGAACCAGCTTGCTGGATTGACAGAGAAGGCCTGGATCTAGTCCAGCAGCTAAGCTTGCTGAGTCCACAGCAAAAGGCTGCATCAAGCCCAGCAGCTCTCCATACCGTGCCTCAGTTTTGTTTAATTGAATCCCAGAGGAGGATGTAGGAGTCTGAATAAGCATTGCCTACTGCAGTCCGAACAATCTTACAATCAAAAGCACGGAGCCAGTGCCTCTTACAGACTATGTGTTCCATAAAAAGCAAGGCTGCAAAGTATTTTTCAAGATTTTGATATGAAGAGTGCCCAGTGCCCACCATCAACTTCAGGTGGATAAAGCAGACCAGCATAAGACAACGTTTAGGGCAACCTTAAGGCTATGTTAGTTCAAACTTCAAACACCGAAGTGATGCCGCTGCGTCTGACAAATGCAGCACCAACCTTCCATCAAGCCATGAGCAACCTGTCGAGAGAGTTCCTCAACCAGTCTGTGGCGGTTTACCTCAATGGCATGCTTCAGTTCAGCAGATCATGAGAAGAGCATGAGTGGCATCTAAGGTTGGTGCTGCAGAAGCTGACGCAAGGCGAGCACAAAATCGGTGGAAAGACGAGTGAATTCAGAAAGAAGAAGGTTTTCTACTTGGGACATGTCATTGCGGCAGATGTGATGTGGCCTGATGAGGCCAAGAAAATCGCCCTCCCCCTTTCTACCCCGGTCAACCAAATTGCATGACACTGATGATGACGGGCAAAATGCACTTTCAATGGAACAACAGTCCAGAGATTTGGGCAATGCGCAGTGTAAGACATGACTCAACCCATGAGTTCGAATCTGGATGATTGCAATGGTGTTATTAAAAATAGAGTGTAGAAAAGAAGGGGAGACTGAAGATACTGTTCATTGCCTGCTAAGCTGCAGCAGAGCTGTTTGGTTCCAGGATAGAATCAGTCATTTGGAGCTCTCTATTGCCCTTTTTTTTTCCCTCAACCTCCTAACTCTGTTTTTCAACAGTTTTTGTCTATATCCTCAACAACCAACACAGAGCAACCAAACTATGGTTCTACCTGATCAGAAAAACAACCAACACAAAGCAACTAAACTATGGTTCTACCTTATCAGAAAAGCTGCAATTTGGACAATCTGGAAAAGAAGATGCTCAAGGACCATTAACGGTCATGGAGCCTCGACAAAAGATGCTCAAGGACCATCAACGGCCATGAAGCCTCGACAAAGCACTAGCCAGGTCACAGCTAAGCGAAATGGTAGACATGGAAATCATGTGCAAATGGTTACGATAACGATGGTGGTACAGGATAAACGGAATCGCTTCACTTCAGCAAAGGGAACTTTTCCTGCACGAGTGGATGCTCAAGCGAAAAGCCGTCGACATACCATTGGACTGTCTCAGATGAAAGAGATGGAACATTGTGGAAGGGGAGGCCCAAGTCAACAGCAGGAGACCACAGCTCAGTTCAGCTAACATATAAGACTTGATTCCTAATCAAGCTCATTAATTATTAAAGCAAAGCAGACATCAAAAGATTCTAGTTGTTTCAAAGTTCAAACTTCAAACCAATCTGGCAGCCAGCGGAAGAGGAACTGAACTGCTCCGCACGACCGTAAGGCTCAGTTTTTTGCAAAAAGGACAACAAGAATTAAAAAAAAAAAAAAAAAAAAACACTTAGAAAAAAGAGAGTGATATTATTTTCACATTGCTTTTGGCAAATGAACTGACGAGGTGGCACCATATGAGCCAGGTAGAAGCTTCCTCCCTCGAACAGAATTTTCACCCGCCAAAACCTTGAACAAAAAGAACCGGATCTTTTTTTATTGCTGAGAGGAACGCCGGTCATGTAGCTTTTGCTTTTCAAACATCAGACAAAAAGAACGAATATGTGCACATTTTGCTTAAGTAAGAATGAGGCGCCTTTCTGCCTGGAAACAGTGGAAAGAATAAATCAACTACCGTATCCATATTACATACCCCAAGTCTGCAGCAAACCATCCGTAGAGATCGCCGCTGCATGGCTTGCCCCGCATGATATCGCCTTAATAACCTGTAAGAAACAGAAAAGAGAGTCAACAGACTTGTCTTTCCCAGGAGAAGACCTCACTTAATCCACACATACACGTTGAAACAGAACAGATATGAAGAGGAACTGGTGCAGTGCTGACGAGGAGGTAATGCAGAAAAGAAAGATGCTGAGTAAAGGTCCACGCCGCCCCAAAGAAGGCCCCCCAAAAAGAGCCCAGGATGCACAAAAGTAACCCAGGTAGAATCTGCAAGCGAACTTTTTTCCCCTATTTGACACTTAAGAGGGGAGCAGATCATGAGTCAAAATGCCACTGCAGATTGATTCAACAGCAGGGTAGCTCTCTCTCTCTCTCTCTCTATCTCTCTCTCTCTCTCTCTCTCTCTCTCACCCCCACTCCTTGGACATCATCATCACAGATACAACGTGTGCGTGTGTAGCAGTGACACAGTGCACTGGAATGGACAGCAATGCACCATTGAGATGTTCTAATTGACAAGGTGTTCAATACAGCACGAACATCAAGTCCTTGTGTCTGAGCCCATGGAATTGGATAGAGGATCTCAACTCACTTCACAACAACCACCACCAACCACAACAACGACAACCCTCCCTCGCTCCCACCAATCAACAACAGCGACAACCCCAATCAACCACCACAACAACACTACCTCAATCCGTCAATCAATCCATCAATTAAACCAATCGACCAACCAACCAACCAACCAACGGCCCGCCACCCCGTCCGCTCACCTGCCAGCCAGCCAGCCACTCAGTCAATCAATCAATCAATCAATCAAACAATCAATCAATCAATCAATCAACAATAACACTAAACAACAACAACACTAAACAACAACAACAACTTACAACAGACAAGGACAACAGCAATCAACAACAATTAATCAGTCATCAACAAAAAAAAATAATAATAATAATAACAAGAAAGACGGTGCTGGAGGGAGCAAAGCCCGCTACATGGCACTGCAGTTGTCATCACTCCCACTCAAACAACATCATCCATCAGTGGGTATTGTGGCAATCATGACAGAGAAAACAGGATTAGAAAGACGCTTACCGATTTGGGTGGCATGGCCCCAGGAAACAATCGCGGCAAATTTGACCCCTGCAATCACAAGTGGAAGCCCCCATCACATGTCAGAGCGCAAAGTGGCCAAGGTTCCTGGAGTACCTTAATCCATGCCGACAGTGGACAAAACAGGGGATAAAAAAGAGAGGGGAGTAATTGCGGCAAAGCTTTTAGGACAGCCTTTGAATTACGAGCCATGACCACACTGGTGTTTGATCGGAAGCTTGTCACAAGGCAGGCCTGGCAAAAGATTTACTCCGTCCGAACAGAACGGAGGTTCAGCGACATGGGGGCGAAGGTTGGGGATTGGGGCCCAGGGGAGGCGCAGAGGGGAGAAACATCACACAACTGTAAGAGGAACACTTAGGCTCGGCTCTCCAATTCCTTCATTTACTTTTGGGGGGGGCTCTAATTTTGTTCTCCTCCTCTCAGCTCTCCCTGCGAAAACAATGCATACTGCACGTAAATTATAAAACTGTCAAAGCACAGACTCAGAAGCTCTCCTTATCAAGAATGGCAAGAACAACATAAACTTGATACACACTTACCCACTCATCGTGAAGTGGAGATGACATTCAACCTTCCCACTTCCAGCCAATCAATTGTTAGTCATTTACGATAGACCCCAAGTTTTCAAGTCAACTGAAGTTCAAAAACCTGAGTGGACTTTTGAAAGAAAGAAAAACAAAAGCTGAGTGGACTTCTTCTTTCATGTTCTCCTAAAGGGAAAGAAAACAAGCATATAGCGTTATGGCTCCTGTTTTGGCTTCTTCATGTTCTCCTAAAGAAAAAAACAAGCACATAACATTATGGATCCTATGTTGGCAAACATCATTCAGGCAAAAGAGAGAACCTCTTTGCAGCTGTGAGGCAGAACAGCTCAGATCAGAGTAAAACACAGCAGAGCAGAACAGAGCAGAACAGAGCAGAACAGAGCAGAACAGAGCAGAACAGAGCAGAACAGAGAGGTCAGAGCAGACAAAGGGGAGGGAGGACCTACCTGATTTTGACCCCAGACCCACAGTCTTCCCTCTGCTGGTTCTCCTCCATCACTTGCGCGCCGCTCCCGTGTGATGACCGCAGTACACTGGGCCCCACACGCAATACTAGTAACGAACTCCTTGCGAAGTGCGATAACGCGCCTTGGCTCTCTGCAATCATCTTCGCCGCCATCACCCAGCTTTGTATGTATATACAAGTAGGCAGCACCAAGGACATGTCCCAAACGGCAGCACATCATCCATTCATGAACCGGCAGGACCAGACAACGACTACTCACGGCAATGGGGAGTCGTGTTGGGAAATCGGAAAAAAATCCAACTATGAAACCTTTGGTACTTGTGTGCCAAGCCTTTTTCACTGGCCAGCAGGAGGCCACAGACACCCCAGAGACAACAAGGTAACGCACCGTAACTGCCATTTCCTATTCTTTTTCTTCGTAAATATCGCTCGAATCTATCAGTGCGGAGTTTCGCAGCCTGGAAACTGATTCCAACATCCCACAAATGTTATCACGAAAAGCCTGCTGGCAAACAGGTCGGCCGGCCCATCAACATAACATGCCATATTCATGCATCCTTGCCTTATGGCACAGAGAACCTTTTTCTTTTTTGCTTTTCTGAACCACAACGTTATGGTTGAGGCTCCACACTATCGTGGCAAGCGTCAGTCCGGTTACTTTCCACCAGCAAGTCACAGAAACTACATTCAGAACAGTCCAACTGTGCCTTCTGTAAACGGCTGAAGGAAACCCTGAAGGGCCCCTGAGCACCATTGATTACTCCTACCGTCTTAACCCCAACATAACGTACTGCCATTTTCGCTGCATCTCGACTGACACTTGGGCCAAATACAGACATAAATGATCATACGTTTTATTCGGGGAAAGACGGTAGGGCGAACTTTTAACTGTCGGCTACACCTTTCTCACTTCTTCTTGGTTTCTTTCAAACCTTGGGACTGCATGTGCATAGAGCCAGAATGCAATGAATTGCAGTGAGATGCGGGCTGTACACTAACTTCGTTGCTGCCTGTTTTGTGCTTTCCGGGATTCGATCCCGTGACTGGTATTGTGTGTGTGTGTGTGTTTGTCTGTGTGTACACTAACTGTTTGTTGGTTCCTTGTTTTGGGCGTTGGAGGACTTGAACCCGTGACTTGTAGTGTGTTTGTGGTGTGTGACTGTTTTTGAGGTTTATTGGGCTGGAACCTTGAACCTGTCGCTAGTAGTCTCTACTTCGTAGTCTTAGGCCACTCGGCCTTGTTGTTTTGTCCTTTTCTGCCCTTCTGGAAACTGGTAGGCCTGTAGGTATTTCTTTGTGTGTCCTAGCCTTGGGTTCCCTTAGTCTAGGATTCCATCTAGATGCATGTAGGTAGATCTTGACTGTTGGGCCGTAGATGTTTTCTGTTTGGACGGTCAGATAGGTCTGTAGGTGGTTACTGCGTTGTAGGTCTAAGGAAGTCGGGTAGAAGTAGGCAGGGGCCGACGAATTTCGGGTTCTGCTTCGTCATTTTTTTTTCACGAAGTGCTGCTGGAGGTCGCGGCTGGAGCTGCGCTAATTCAAAGTGCTCGTTCGTCTTCCTCGTTGAAGGGAAGCTGACGGCCATAACTGGGCTTACCTGGCTGGTGCGGAATTGGCCCAGGGACATCAGGCCCTGCTCTGCGTGGTGCTTCCTCCATAGCTGTCCTATTGGGGTTTCGACAGCTGCCATCGAAGTAGATTCTCTATGCCTGCTTCGAAGTGGCAGATCTTCATCTTCATCGATTTGTTGTTCTTCTTCATCATCCTGGGAGCTGCGCTCCCCTGCTGAGTGGACACTTCATCTGCAGTGGGCTTCTTGAGTGGTGCAGAGGGGTGTTGGATTTAGGAGGGTGTGTGGCGATTGGCAGGCTTGATAGGTTGGGTGCCCGCAGGCACCATAGCTAGAGCTTGAGGAAGAGGGAGGAAGAAGAAGACTCCCAAAGTATTCGATGAAATCTTGTAAATAATTGGTCCATGGGTGTTGATAACGTGGTTGGGATTCTTGGAACAAGTATTTCTGGATTGATTGGAGGAGGATGAGGGATTGCAGAATTGAAATTCGTTTTTCAATTCTCTGTGTATTTTGAGCTTCCGCTGTGCATATCTCCTCTCTGGTTTTGTGTGGGTTTGCCTCCTTCGAGTCTACTCTGAAATTGCATGCGTGTATGGGAACGTGTGAATTCGTTGTGGATTGAAGTTCAATCGGGCATATAACACAGACAAGAAAGGCTCCAATCGGGGAACTACTTCCATACTGCTCACATCGAGACAAGTATTTCTTCCTCTGAATGCCATGTTGCTGCTCTTCGATCAGTTCCTACGCACTTCTGCCAGTCCTTCCATCTGAGATGCAGTCCACTAAAGTTTACCAGCCGGCAATCATCTCTACGCTTTGACAGTAACTGGAAGAAGTTCTGCTTCATTTCGTTGTGGCTGGCACACGCCAAGGATCCATCCTTTCGATTTACCTGAAGTGGAAGCTGAGTTACGGAATTTCGCTTGATCATGGATTCCTTACTGGGTTCTTCTCTATGGTTGGTCTTCGTGTACTTTCTTTTTTCTCTTTTTTTTTTTTCCAAAACACACAAGCCCCTTCTATTCTGGGGGGGCGTCAGTCCGGTTGCTTATTACCGGCAAGCAAGAGCACAAGAAACAACGAGAGAAGGAAAGCAAAGAAGACTCAGTGAAAGGCCTTTCACGATTCAGACCCCAAATTCGGATTTCAGGGTCAAGGCCCTAGGCCAAGAAAGGCCAGGTCGGTCAGTTTCAGAGAAGTCACAGTCGGGTACCTTAGGGGTCAAATCCAACGGGCACCCGATGAACAGTCACATCTCAGAGGCAAAAGTCACGTCTCATATTGAAAAATCGTGTCCCAGAGGCAGGAGTCACAAACCCCAGTCAAAAGTCATGGGCCACAATCGAAAAGTCGTGACTCACAGGCCCAAGCAGCAGCACACCAATGAAAATTCGGGAAAGGTGCCAGGCCCCGACATTCGGAAGCAAACAGGCCGTGGGGATGTGGTACCAGAACCAAGTCAAGCCCCAAGAAGCAGAGGCTGGCACGAGTTGAAGCTCGGTTCAAGACAATATAAGGACTGGCAAGCCTCCTCATTTGGCAGACTGCTCATTCGCATGAAGTGTGGAAGTGCTGGTGCACTTGTGAGCTATTGTGAGTAGCTGAGCGCTGAGGCAGGGAGCTACGCTAGTAGAGGGAGAGAAAGGGAGCAGCCATAGCTGCCCAGCACTGGCAGACAGCCATAGCTGCAATGACTTGCTGATTCTGCAGCCTGAGATCCGTCGACCCGAGGCTGTAACATAGGTAGGATAGATTTGCTATTTTGTTTGGCCAAGGGCTAACTGAGATATCTAACAGTGAGGAAAATTTGTGAGGGACATATCTGTAATTTGAGAAAATTGCAGGCCCAGACTAACTCGAATTTCCTGAAACTACCCTAACTGCGAATAGTAGGCCCGGGCTACCCCTAGGACAGACAGGTCGTGATGCCTAGGCTGCGAGACGGTTGCTATAGCCTATAGCCGGGTAGGGAGAGGCCCTAGAGGCCGAACTGAAACGGTACCGGTCAGTCCAGTCAGTCCGGTCTAGGTCGTGTCTAGGCTAGGGTAGACTATGAATAGGTTTAGGACTGTTCGGGTGCTTTTGGCAGTTGGTACCGTGCACATCGCAGCTGCGCAACGTATGAACTGGCGGTGGTACAGCTTCAGCGTTGGAGGAGACAGACATAGCCGGACCTTCGAAGCGTCGGCCATAGCTGGGACCTACGCTGTTCTCTGACAGCACGCGGGGCTGTTCAGAGGTCCGGTCTATCTGAAGTCTGCTGGAGGCAAGAGAAGTTGGTGCCCTGCTGGACCCTCCTCAGGAGTAGGGTGTCAGGATGTGTGGCGCTGAAGCCATAGCTGCAGCTTTCATTCTCAGAGATCATCTTTGTCAGGAGCGGTGGCGCTGCTGCAGATTTCCATCCGGGAAGTCTTCTGGCACTTCATCAGCATCAGAGACTGTGGCGCTGGTCTTCTTCTTCATCCTCTGAGAGGTGCTTGGCCTCAGAGGCCTGTTTCAGGGTGGCGCTTCCTTCTGGAGGCAGTATCTGGGTGGCGCTAGTTGTTTCAGGGGCTCAGGGGTAGTGATAGCAGTTATTCAGGGTTGGGGAAAGGAGCGCTGCTCATTTCTGATCAGCGCATCACAGTTCTGGGGTTATTCTGACAATTTGAGACTCTGAGTTTAATAAAACAGTGTTAATACTGTGTGTGAACTATCTTTGCTTCATTGTTTTCTGGATGTGATCTAGTCGGCTTTCCTTTGTGACTGGTTGTGAGGATTCGGTGGAGTGAATTGCACTTTAAGTGTACTCTGCCATATCGCATGGCTAAGTCTTCCGCTGTGTTTCTTTCTCCCTGTGCGGTGTGATACATCCTCTTCCCTTCCTTCTGTGTATGTATGGCATACCTGGAAGTATATGTGAGCGAGTGTTGATCTTCTGACAACAAACAACCAGGTTCATAACATAGCTGCGCCAGTGCTAGTAATTAGTAGTAGATCTCAGAGGGGTTAGTAGAGTTGGCAGTGGGTGTATTCAGAGTTGGTCCTTGAGTAGTAGAGAGTGTGACTGCATGTAAGTAGGGAGAGAAGACACAGGGAGGTGGTAGACAGAGAGAAGACTAAGAGAGGAGAGAGAAGAGCAGAGAAGGACGTACTCACCTGAACGAAGATACTGGTTACTTGGATCTGCGTTGTTGAGCGCTGGTGACTGGAATTCTTAATTGCTTGTTGGAATTCTAAAGCTGCGTTTACCTGGTCTTCGTCTCTCTGGCCTCCAGTGTGAGCTTTGTGTGATCTCATCCGTGCATGGTGTGTGATTGTATGCGCTCAATGGTGGTGAACTGAGAGGTCCAATGCATCAGCCTTACCCTTGCAGTACGAGTCACCTACTCAAGGAGGGGAGCTGCCACGAGCCTCGATTTATGCATTTATCCTTGAGCAGGGGCCATGCTAATCTTCATTCTCTGTATCGTTTCAATTTTAACGGACGTCTGGAACGACGTCCACTTCCTTCTGATCGCCACCCTAACTACCTCCATCGTTGTTAACCAAATCTCTCGACTGCAGTTACGTACCCCTTCCATTGTTTCTAGTGCACCGTTCTT